TTGTGGCAATTGAGGACCTTTCAGAATGTCTCATCTGCTTTAGTTCAAGAAGTGATGAGTGCCCTGCCCGTTGCTGTCGAGTCAATCTGACTCATAGCAAGTCTATAGGACAGAGTAGAACTGCCCCATAGGGTTTCCAAGGAGCATCTGGTGGATTCAAACTTCCAATCATTTGGTTAGCAGCTGTAGCTCAGTAATGCAAAACTGAACTTGTCTGAGACAGTTGCTCAGGGATCTTGGTCTGACTTCCTTAAGAACAACAGTTAAGAGTCAGAATTTATTACTTCAAAATTTTTATCAAGGAGAGAAAAAAAAGTGTTGAATATATGGTGATGTTTATATGCCTCCTCCCATACATACCCTTGTAGGGAATTTACCCGAGCACTCTAAAACTACTAGACTTGGACATTAGAAGATGGTCAAGAAAGACACTAAGCTCTAAGTTAGACATATATCTGACAATTAGAAAGTCTAGTCTGGAGACAGAAAAACAGGATAGAGGATTAGAACTGAGATTACCTGAGTATGGGTTCAGATATGTACTCCTGAAAACAGATTTGGGAACCTTATAATTGATTTTCCTAGCCCACAAATCATTAAAATTCTGGATTATTTACTTCACTAATTTATTAATTCATTAAAAAATATTTATGTTCAAGGCAATGTTGTATGCATTTGGGGAGAAAGATATGTTAAAAGATAATTTTTAAAGAACCTTCCCCAAAAAAGCATTAAAAAAAAAAAAAAATTGCTGTCAAGTTGGTTCCGACTCATAGCTACCCTATAGCGCAGAGTAGAACTGTCCCATAGGGTTTCCAAGGAGCAGCTGGTGAATTCAAACTGCTGACCTTTTTGTTAGCAGTCAGAGCTCTTAACCACTATGCCACCAGGGCTCCAAAAAGCATATAGGAGACTAGTAATGTGTAAGATAAATAATTATCACATTAGGTGGAAAGGGATCAACCACATGCAGTCCTGTTGAGTTACATAGATGGAGAAAATCTTTCCGGTGGAAACATATGGAAGGAGAATTGATTAGGTTAAGTTTTTTATGATTGAAGAATGGTGGTGCTTATCAGCTGGCCTAGTTTTCATGACTTAGGCAAGTAGAGATGTGGTCCAGGGTTCCAGTGGTCCAGATAATGCTGTATAGATTGGAACGGTCGGGACAAGTCTGGAAATTTGATAATACATCAGTTTGACTGATTCAAAATAGTGATAAATAAGTTTGGGAAGGTGATCATATTCAGATGACATAGAAAACCAGGCTAAGGAATGTGGACAGACAGCACTCTCTGGGTGGTTTGAAACTATTTAAAACCCTGGGGGAGGTGAAGGTCATGATGTAGAGCTCTTTCTTCAGAAAAATAAACTTGCTAGTTGCCTCTGAGTCGATTCTGACTAATGGCAACTCCAGGTATGGAGAGTAGAACTAGACCTGCTTCCTTTGGAAGCAGATCGCCAGACTTGTCTTCCAGAGCCCCTCTTACCCCTTTGAGCCACCCAGGCGGCTGCTAAATCAATTGTTTCCGAGTGGAAAAGACCAGATGCTATTTCAATATTAAAATAGAAATAGATCTGAGAGAGTGTGTACCATAGAAATGACAGGATTAAATATGTATTAATATCTTACATTTGTCTATGCTTTACAATTTAAGAGAGAAATGCATTTCTAGGCCATGAGTAGGAGTCAATCAAAATGAATAAAATGATATGAGCAGAGAAGACAGCCAAAAAGACTTTGGAAAACATGTATTTTAGGGGAAAAACGAAGAAAGCATTGAGTTCTTGGATTGGCAAAGTGCCCCTCAATGATACATTGAGTGGCCTAAACACACATTGTTTAATTGAATCTTTTAAAAAATCCTATGTATTATCTAGGAGCCCTGGTGGCACAGTGGTAAAGCACTCAGCTACGAACCAAAAAGTGGGGGTTGGAAACCCCCACTAGCTGCTCTGCAGGAGAAAGATGTGGCAGTCTGCTTCCCTAAAGATTTACAGCTTTGGAAACTGTATGGGGCAGTTCTACTCAGTCCTATAGGGTCACTATGAATCGGAATTGACTTGAAGGAAACAGGTGTGGTTTATATATTATCCATAAATAGTTCCATTTTACAAATAAGGAAAGAGGTTGAAAGATGTTTAAGTGACTTGATTAATGACAATAAATAGGCAAACAGCCTGAAACATGAACCCAAATCTCATTACAGCGATACTGTCTCTTGCCAACCAACTAATCTAGTGGATTGAGGACAAGGGGGAATCCAGATCTGTGTTGTTGTTGTTAGGTGCCATCAAGTAGATTCCGACTCATAGCAACCCTGTGCATAACAAAACGAAACACTGCCCAGCCCTGCGCCATCCTCACAATCCTTGTTATGCTTGAGCCCATTGTTGCAGCCACTGTGTCAATCCATCTCGTTGAGAGTCTTCCTCTTTTTTGATAACCCTCTACTTTACTAAGTATGATGTCCTTCTGCAGGGACTGATCCCTCCTAATAACATGTTCAAAGTATGTGAGACGTAGTCTCGCCATCCTTACTTGTAAGGAACATTCTGGTTGTACTTCTTCCAAGGCAGATTCTTTCTGTCTTTTGGCAGCCCGTGGTATATTCAATATTCTTTACCAACACCACAATTCAAAGGCATCAATTCTTCTTCTGTCTTGCTTATTCATTTTGCAGCTTTCACATGCATATGAGATGATTGAAAACACCACGGCTTGGGTCAGGTGCACCTTAGTCTTCAAGGTGACATCTTTGCTTTTCAACATTTTAAAGAGGTCTTTTGCAGAAGATTTGCCCAATGCAATGCATCTTTTGAATTCTTGACTGCTGCTTCCGTGGGTGTTGATTGTGGATGCAAGTATAATGAAATCCTTGACAACTTCAATCTTTTCTCCGTTTATCATGATGTTGCTTACTGGTCCAGTTGTGAGGATTTTGGTTTCCTTTATGTTGCGGTGTAATCCATACTGAAGGCTGTGGTCTTTAATCACAGCAACACGCAAGTCCCCACAGTACGACAAACTGACAGACATGTGTGGGAATAGAGATCTTAGGTGCAACAAAGAAAGAAGCATCAGACAGGGCAGGTTTAGATTTAGAAAGGGCAGATTTAGCTTTAGAGAGGTGCTGTACTACTTTTTTTCTCAATAAAAGAGGGAACTGGATGAGGATAACTCAAAATAAAAGTGTTGAAGTTTTGAGTTGCGAAATGAAGGAAGTTCACACTTGGAATTCACCAACGAACCAGTAAAGTACTGATGAAATATTGCAAAATGAGAAGTTATTGATTTGAAAAAAAATGTAAACATGAAGACTCTTCAAAGCGTGCTCTGATGAAAAGTTATTTAGAAATAATAAAGACGACTTTTCAGCAGAAAAGGAGGTTCAGTTGAGATGAGAGGATTAAACATGTACAGGAACCTACCATCCCAATACTTCATTTTACCCCAGAAGCCAGACTATTGGGCCTGCTTATTTTGCTGTTTAAATTTTGAACTAGTTGGCAATTTTAAAAATTTTTTGAGAAATGATAAAATGGGAAGAAGTAGCAATCCGGCTGGAGCTAAGTAGTGGCTGCTCTGTGGTTCTGGAAGCATTTTGATTGTAACCACTTTCTTGAACAGCAGAAATAGCATCACCTTAGAGGTAGTCAGAACTGCAGAATCTTGGCCACTCCCCACACCTACTGAATCAGAATCTTCATTTTAACAAGATCTCCAGGTTTCTTGTATGTTTGAAAAACACTGGCCTAAAACATTCTAGAGTAAAAGAGTTAAAGTACGCCAAACCAAAAACCAAACCCGTTGCCATCGAGTCGGTTCCGACTCATAGCGACCCTATAGGACAGAGTAGAGCTGCCCCATCGGGTTTCCAAGGAGCGCCTGGTGGATTCAAACTGCAGACCTGCTGTTTAGCAGCTGTAGCTCTTAACCACTACACCACCAGGGTTTCCAAAGTATGCTAGAAAATATTAATACTCTATAAACTTAAGACAAAAACAAGATGGATGAGAGTAGTCAAATGCCACAGGATGGGGGTCTAACCTTGCCTGCTTTATATATTAATACGTTAATAGGTTTTCATTTGTAAAACTTTTTTATTTTGAGTACTTTTCTTTTAATTAAGTTGTACAACTGTGTTTAAGCCTAAATTCCATTTTTGTTCCGAAGATATCTAATTGAATAATTGAGGAATAAAACTCATTGCATTCGAGTTGATTCCGACTCATAGTGACCCTATAGGATGGGGTAGAACTGCCCCACAGGGTTTCCAAGGAGAGGCTGGTGGATTCGAACTGCCGATTTTTTGGTTAGCGGGCAAGTTAAGAACCACTTAGCCACCAGGGCTCTGATTAAAGAATAACAACTCAAATATTCTTATTGGCTGTAATGAATCCAAACTTAATTAGATCTCAGTAATTTCTGTAGAATCCACGTTGGAGGAATGTTAAAAGGATTTTATTTTCTTTTCTCATGTCTCAGTCAGTTCCTGTTAATTAACTGCTTTGAAAGATGTTCAACTCTGGTGATTCTTTTAGGAAAGTTGAATTGTTTTATTTCATTTCAGTAACAAATTGGCACTTAAAACATAAAATAGCCCGTTTGTTGACGGCACACAAGTGCTATCTCCTAACTAGGACGATGTGTTACCAACTGGAGAAGCTATTACTCTCATTTGAATTTTGGTCACCTTGGACCATAAGACTGCTGCCTGTGTCTGCTCCTAAGTGTTTCCTAGTGAATCATTGACTGTTAGTGTAATTTCAATGCTAATTGTTGCTTTAGGTCTTCAAATGGCTCAGCAGTAAGACATTAATGATTATTCATGCCTTAAGAAGGACTGATCAGGGAATGAGATTACAGTCTTGTACAGTTTTAGCTAACAAATTAAAGTGTAAGTTAAATTTTCTCTGAGACAGAAAATAACTTACTAGGAAAGCCAACAAAATGAGAAACTTCATTCAATTTTAATTTTCTCTTTCCTGTTTTACAGATATTCAGAGTATCAGAGGGCTAGCAGTGGATTGGGTATCAAGAAATTTATACTGGATTAGCTCAGAATTTGATGAAACTCAAATTAACGTGGCACGATTAGATGGCTCTTTGAAAACCTCAATTATCCATGGAATCGATAAACCACAGTGTCTTGCGGCTCACCCAGTCAGGGGGTAAAGTATGATTATGTTTTTTTTAAGTTTTTCCAAAATACCACAAACCTGTGCCCTGATATTTTATATATATATATATACGTGTATATATGTGTGTGTGTATGTATATATAAGGAGCCCTAGTAGTGCTAAGCCCTCAGCTGTTAACTGAAAAGTTGGAGATTCGAACCCTCCAGCAGTTCTGTGGGAGAAAAGACCTGGTGATCTGCTCCTGTAAAGATTACAGCCTAGGAAATGCTATAAGGCAGTTCCACTCTGTCCTATAGGGTCTCTGTGAATCAGAATATATATATGCATCACTTAATGTCCATGATACATTCTGTGAAACAGGATGTTATGTGATTTGGATGTTGTACGAACCCTATATTATAGGCAGTCCCTAGGTTACGCATGTCCGATTTACAGACAACTCTTTCTTAAAAACAGACTACCATATATCCTGTCATATTAAACATTACAGTATAACAATGACTGGACGCACTACTTTGTGATGCTCATGAAAACATTGTGTGGTATGGCAGTGTTTAAGTGTTTTCTGTGCACAGAAAGGTAAAATATGTACTATGTACCAAGATAAAAATTTGACTAAAACCGGGAAAACCAAACCCATTGCCATCCAGTCGATTCCAACACATAGCAACCCTGTAGGACAGAGTAGAACTGCCCCATAGGGTTTCCAAGGAGCGGCTGGTGGATTTGAGCTGCTGACCTTTTGGTTAGCAGCCAAGGTCTGAACGACTGCACCACCAGGACTCCAAAATTTGACTGATGGTAAGTAAGAACTATATGGACCTGTTCTGACTTACCTGCAAATTTGACTTAAAGAGAAACTTAGGGAAAGATCTTTTTTGTAAATCAGGGACTGCTTGTATACAAGAGATGTGATATACACATGTTGCATGCAGGAAACTGTTGCATTTGCTACGTCTGATTATGTCTGCTATATTCCATTCTCCTAACAGGATTTTTGAACTCTGTTATAACCTTATGGGACCATGGATGTATATGCAGTCAGATGTTGCCCAAATGGATGTTATGTGGCACATGACTATATATATAAAATACTGTTTAATTAGATGTGTCCTCTGAATTGTGTCCTCTACACAGTGTTTTGTAAAGATACAGATACAGGTGCAGGTGCAGGTACAGGTACAGATACAGATACACATGTATAAAGATAAACATAAATAGATATATATATATATACAAAACATTGATTACAGATGTATGTGTATATTTATATTTATATATATATGAAACATCGTGTAATTCAGAGGACACATTTATATCTGCCATAGAGTCAAAAAAGGAAATGTAAATATGGAAACTGTAAAAAAGATACCTGATTAGAAATTTCTCTTATCTGCATAAAATCTAATTTTTCTATAGTATTATAAGGTATCATTAATTTGTGTTTCTGGGGGTGACAGATCAGCCTACAGAGAGATACAGGGGATAGTGGTTGATTCCAATTAGAATGCCAGTTGTTAATAACTTACTTACTGCATGTTGATGTTAAGGTCAATGCTAAGTAGATCATATTCTGCCATCTTCTGGCAGAAATTATTTCTCCCTATTCTTCAGAAGTGTTAAAAAGCAAAGATGTTACTTTGAGGACTAAGGTGCGCCTGACCCAAGAGATGGTACACGTTCAATCGCCTCATATGCATGTGAAAGCTGGGCAATGAGTAAGGAAGACCGAAGAAAAATTGATGCCTTTGACTTATGGTGTTAATGAAGAATATTGACTATTCCGTAGACTGCCAAAAGAGTGAACAAATCTGTCTTGGAGGAAGTATAGCCAGAATATTCCTTAGAAGTGAGGATGGTGAGACTTCGTCTCACATACTTTGGACACGTTATCAGGACGAATCAGTCTCTGAAGAAGGACATGGTGCTTGGTAAAGTAGAGGGTTAACGAAAAAGAGGAAGAGCCTCAATGAGATGGATTGACACAGTGGCTGCAACAATGGCCTCAAACATAGCAATGATTTTGAGGATGGTGCAGGACCAGGCAGTATTTTGTTGTGTTATACACTGGGTTGCTATGAGTTGGAACCAACTAAACAGCACCTAACAACAACAACAGCATGCTTCACCAGGAATGGTTGAAATGAGTTTGTTCTATGGTGTCTGATTTCTCCACACTCAGAATGATTCAATCTTGATGAACTGATTAAAATGAAAATAATTTACTGTAATCATAGTTAAATATTTGGTTTTGAAAGTAGGAGAAAAACAGAAGTGAGGTCACTTTTCTTCATTGAAAGGAAAAAGCAAGAGTGGTGCTTTCTTCCAAGGAAATTTGTAGGTTACTGTCAGAAAGTGGCTCCGCAATTTTGGAACTTCCTGAAATGAATTAGTCTTGACTCAAGAATGCATTTTGGTATTAATTTTACTCTTCAGTGCATGTTTCTACTCAACAAATATGTCTACATCTAATATTTTTAATCCATATCTCTTTTGTATTAAGGAAACTTTACTGGACAGATGGAAACACAATTAACATGGCAAACATGGATGGCAGTAATAGCAAGATTCTCTTTCAAAATCAGAAGGAACCAGTTGGTAAGTTTTTTTTTTTTTTAATAGTTAATCTTTGCAGTTTTTAATATGACAAACCTGAAATTGAACAATGTATCCAGATCTAGAGGCCAAAATAAAATATTACAGATTAGTAATATAAATTAAATCAGAAATTCATCAGTCTTACTCAATCCATTGGGACACATTCTAGGAAGGGTAAGGAGGAAATATTCTTTTTCTGCCAGGTAAGATAAGTCCTTTTAATAAGAGAATGTTTGCAGTATATTAAGTAGTAATGAAATTGCTTAAAACAATGCTAACTCATGAATATCTCATTTTCACTGGTGGATGTCTGATAAACTGCTACAGTGGCAATACTGATGCTTCCCCCGCTTGTTAGTATTGTGATATTCTTAATAGTTATAATGATTTGGGTTTAAGAATTTAGTTTTTATTCACTCTGCAATGTGTTTATTTAGTTATTTTTACCTTTTCCAACCACTGCAAATCATCAGGTAAAACACCGTGGCGCTGAAAAAAAGCCTTGACTCATTCTTAATAGAACAATCCAAATTTATCTTGGACGGGACAAAGCAAGTTCAGTATTCTTTGCCAAATTATGTCTTGCTTCTAGTCCCTTTAAAATCAAAAACAGAAAATATAAATCTTTTAGCTTATCTTAAATTATTTAAATGTCTGGAAGTGCCTAAGAACTCTGAGATAAACTAAAAATAAATGAAATGAAAACTAAACAAAATTTAATCAATTTATTAATTTATATTTATTTGTTCTGTGCTGAGCATGGTGCTAAGCAAATAAATGTTACTTTCACTCAGAAACTCATGATCAAAAACTCATGACAGATATTTATACAGCTACAAATTACAAAACATAGCAATAAATACTATACTGAGACATAAGTAAGATATTGCAGAATCATGGAAAAGAAAAAAACAGATTCTCTTGACAGAGCCTTAATAGCAGAGGTGATGTTTGAACTGGGTCTTTTTGGATTAATTATATTTCACCAACATAAAAAGGGGGTGTTAGAGAAGTACATTCAAAGAAGAGGGAACAACAGAAATAAAAATGTGGAGGAACATGCAAAAATGTAAATAAAGCCTTGAAATGTCAAGGAAATGATAAATGAAGGATCTTTGAGTCTCCAGTAGTATGATTATTGCCAAATCTCTTCATCTATTCATTATGTTTTAAAGCCTAGAAAACATTCTTTCAGGAAGAAATGCACCTGTACACCTGTCTCTTATGACCAAGAACATAGGGTAGGAATGGCCCAACTCTGCAACTGCAAAGTATGTAGGGAATTGAATACACTTATAATTCCTTTTATAAAAAATTAAAACTGGGACAGGGAGAGGGAATTCACTCTTTAGATAGTAGGCACTTTTTGTTTTTGGTGATGAGAAAGGTAACACTGAATGACAGTGAAGTGTGTGCAGCTTGATTAAGGTAAACGATGTCACTAAAACGTACACAAGAATAAAGGACCTTTTGGTAATTGCTATGGCATGTATAATTTTGAAACAACAGCAACAAAAGCCAAAATATATATATGGGTATATATGTATGTAGACATACATGTGTGTAGGTATATATATGTGAGTATATACGTGTGTATATATGTGTGTGCATATGTATATGCATCTATGTAACTTTATGCACATATATTCACATATATAATAAAGCACATAGAGGGCACAATTACAGATATTTCTTAGACATAACCAGACACCTTGAAGGATTGATTTACTGGGTTTGAAGGATTAGAACCATAGTTTTGTGGGACATCTTGATCAATTGGAGTAATATAGTTCATAAAGTTTATGTTCTACTTCCTAGCTTGGTGAGTAGTGTCTGGGGTCTTAAAAGCTTGTGAGTGGCTATTTAAGATACAACTATTGGTCTCTACTCATCCAGAGTAAAAGAGAAAGAAAGAAACCAAAAACTCAAAGAAGAAACCAGTCTACAGGACTAATAGTCTACTTCAATCATGGCCTCATCTACCCTGAGACCAGAAGAAATACATGGTGCCCAGATACCACTAATGACCATTCTAATTAAGGCCACAGTAGATGGAGCTTGATAGAATGGGAGAAAAATGTGGGACAGAACCTCAGATTCCCTATAAAACAAAACAGACTTACTGGACCAGTTGAGAGTAGAGGACTCCCTGAGACTTTGGCCTGAGATGTTCTTTAAACCTTGAGCCAAAACTAGCTCCTGAGGTCACCTTTTAGATTGGCTCACAAAATAAAGAATATTGCCTGTGAGTACGGTGCTTTTTTAAAAAAAGTCATCTATATGAGATATAACAGTCAACAATTACTTTAAAAAAAGGTAACAATGTAAGGGGACAGGAAAACTAGATTAATAGAAACAGAACAGCTAGAACAGAAATACTGAGAATGTTCACATATTGTGAAGGATGTAACCCATGTCACTGAACAATTTGTGTAGAAATTGTTGAATGAGAACCTAAACTCTGTGTAAACCTTCAACGAAAACATAAAATATTATTTAAAAAGAAAAATCAAAACTAATGAAAAAAGGTAAAATACTTTCATTTTGAACATAATATGGTCCATGTACTATGAAACCATCTCTGCAAACTTTGATTAGATCAAGTCTCCATAACCAAAGTTAAACAGAAACCTGAGGTAATAATCTGAGTAGTAACTATTTTTAAAGGTATTCTTAAAAAGAGGTTTTTCTTTTTTTTCCTCCTTACTTTTTTTCTCCAGGTTTTCATCAACGGCCTTTACTGAAGTTTCACTTTTTCTTTGAAAATCATAAGTACAAATATTCTTTCAGAAGCTATGTTGCACATTTGTACATAGATATCTATGCGATATAATATTTTAAAAAATTTAATCACTCTTTCCTTATATTTATGTTTCTTTGGGAATAAGAATTTTATTGTCCACTTCACATTTGAAGTAGCTCATTTTTAATAGTGAAATTTAGTAAAGGTGTAGTATCAACAATATTTGAATAAATAATTCTTTTCATGTAGTCTATAAAATAAACCTGTGATATAAAATGACACTGTAACAGCTCTTTTCTTTATACTGTTTGTTCTAAGATTTGATGCACAATTGAAATTCAGGATAGAGTTAGAAATTAAAGTCAGATTGAAATGCTAATACTTATGTGTGGAAAATGATATAACAAAAGAAACAACGGGTGCTACAAGATTAGGACCCGTACAAAGGACTTAATTTGGACTAAAGCAATTCAGTTGGTGCTTATCTGGAGTTGCTCAGAATGTTTAATATTGAAAAGTGAGCATGATGGTAATAGTATGTGCAAAGAAAACCCTTGTAAACTTGGCAGCCATAGGTTACACTAAAATGTTAATTTCTATGCTTGTTTATGTAATGCTAAATTATTAGCTCCTTTAATAGTAATACCCATTTCACTGTTCCAAATAATTTAAAGCAAAAACTAATAGCTTATAGAAAAAAAGTATATAAGAAAGGAATTGACGTTACTATTCATTCTTTGTAGTTGGCACATCAGAAGTTGTGCTCCAAATAAGACTTTTAACAGTATATGGATGACAATTCAATATTCAACAACAAATATCAGATATCTGCTCTGTGTCAGTTATTGTTACAATTAAAAATTACTTTTAAATACATTTTCAAACATGAGTTTTTTATTTTAATTTGTACAAGATATACTATTGTATCAGAACTAAATCAAAATCTCATTAAGAATTATATCTTAAATCAGCATTAATGAGTATAGACTTGTGAGTCAGACATTCATTTATTCAATAAACAGATTTTTTTATTGAGTAACAGATTTTACAGTTGAACTGTATAAAAATATATATATACATAAACTTGTTTTTGTAGGCATTCATGATGGCCATACTCAGAACATTCTTATATACATAGGGACATTTATTACTATATTATTTACTTATTGAATTTCACTGTTATTTTGTACTGCAGGCAATTATTGTAATTATTATATCATAATGGCCCTGTTGGGGTGACCTCTGGCTTAAACTGACTGCCCGGTGCATTCTCTACATAATTTTCATAAATAAAATTAGATGATAAGGAAAGAAGATGACACTGTTCAATTGATTTTCTCCTCATGCATATTTATTGTCACATTATAAATTAGTTTTCCCAGAAGGTGATAAGAAAACACAATATTCTCTCTGGTGAGGTTGGAGTGGCATCACGTTATAATTATCCTTATCTATCACTGGTTATGGTGCCTGTGTTCTCACCATGACGCTACAGCTTTGTGTTTCCATGCACTTAGCCTGGGTTGTAGGATTCAGCGGAACCACAATCACTTTGGCAACATTAATTAACAATTATAATGACTACTTTTTAAGCACTTATTATTTGTGAAGCACCTGTAAAATGCTTTGCATTAATCATCTCACAACAATCATTTGTAGAAGGAGCTCTTATCATAGATTGAGAAACTGGGGCTTGTTGAAAGAAGTTAGCTGCCCACGATGAGTGGCAGAGCTGGGATTCAAATCTAAGTTTATCTGCTTCCAAAGCCATATTAAGTCTTAATCATTATGCCATGCCCAGAGAGGCCTATTTTATACAGTAATTTCCTGACCTCAAGCAAAGAACAGGGAATAGAACTGGTTCCCTTTCAAGCATGGAAAGTGGAAAAGAGAAAAATCCAGAGGTTAGGTACTCCTGAGAAATGTAGGCCCAATTAGGACACAGCAGAAGGCTTTTCTAAGCAGCCAGCAGTATGCAAGAACCAGTTTCACCTCTGTGCCAATTGTGCTTCACAATTAATTATTTCTGAAACTTTAAAGCTAGTTTTAAATAGCCAAGTCACTGATGCACTAGCTTGTGGAATTATTTTTATACTGTAGTTCATTGGATTCCCCTTGCTTGTTTGCTGTTAAATCCATATGTCTGACATGCTTGAAACAGAAGTGCATCATAATCTTATCAAAACACCCAACTTGGTATTTTATGAGTGTGTATCATTAAAAACTGAGTAATTGCAGCTTTCAGGCAGTTTGGGCT